TTTATTTGTTTGTGTATAAAGGATGCTCATCTAGATGATAACATAACTGTGATAAAAAGAAAAGGGGGGAATATGAGAAGCCAATCCTAAATATTTGTAATGAACTGAATGCTATTTAAATAAAATCATAATAGTAATAATAATAATAACAATAAAACTCTAAGAGCAGCTTAGGAAAAATTTAATTATTACTGTTGTTGTTGTTTGGTGCCATTGAGTTGAGTACAACTCATAGAAGCTTTAAGAACGACAGATCAGAATCCTCTTCTATGCTGCGCCTTCCTCGTCCTCTCTGACACACTGGAAGCCTTGCTGCAGTCACAGTGTCATTCCATCTCATGTGAAGACTTCCTCACTTTTGCTGACCCTCCACCTTCCCTAGCATGATCTCCCTTTCCAAAGAGTAGCCTCTCCTAGCAATTTGCCCGTATTATGTGTGATGAATCTTCACCATCCTTGGTTCTAAGAAGCACTCTGGTACTACCTTTGCCAAGGCATATCTGTTTGTTCTCTTGGCAGTCTTCAGAGAGAGTATTCAGTACTTTCCTTCAGCACCAAAACACAACACCACAACTCTTTTGACATCTTTGTTCATTGTCCAGTTTTCAGATGGATAGCAAGTGATTGAGAAGACTATGGCCTGAATCAGGCACACTTTAATCCTCAAACTGGCATCATTACTTTCCATTACTTTGGAGAAATCCCTGACAGCAGACTTTCTCAATGCAATACATCTTTTGATTTTTTCACTGCTAGTACCAAGGGGTTGATTTTGGGTCCAATTAAGTTGAAGTTATTGACAGTTTCAGTCTTTTCTGTCATGATGTTGCCTACCAGCTAGGTGAGGTATTGTTGTTTTGGTTTTATTTTTCATCATTATTGAGGTTTATTAGGGAATTTAACCCTTCTGTAGCATGTTTACAGGCCCTTCAGCCTTCAGTCTTCTGATTTCAGACCAGTGTTGTAAGCTCTCTTTTGTTGCCGTATACCACTGAGTCAGAACCAACCCACAGCTGACCCTCCAGCAGGTTTTCAGAGACAGTTAATCACACAGAAGGAGATTGCCCATCTTTGCCCCATTTGGAGGATTTGAACTGCATGTCTTCAGAATTGCAGCGCAGCCTCTTAGCATTAGGCCACCAGAGCTCAATCAATTATGGCATTCCCTTCCACCTCCCAGTTCTCCAGCAAGTTTGTGCAAGGTCCCCTGGTTCTGGATCTGTAGGAGAACAGCTCTAGGTCAGCTCTGCCTCACGTCAGGTCCCTGTTTTCCTGCTGTCCCTGCTGCTGCCCTCCTATTGATCTCACTGGCAACAAAAGAATCCCTGGTCCCAAAGAGTGTGCACTACGTTCTCTCCTTCTTCTTTGCTGCTGCTCAAGCTCTCTCCAGTGGTGACTTTTTTTTTCTTCTTGATGTTGAAAAGTAATCCATATTGAAGGCTATAGACTTTGACTTTCTGCAGCAAACATTTCAAGTCCTCCTCACTTTCAGCAAGCAAAGTTGTGTCATCTTCGTAATTCCCATTTGTCATGGAGTTTCTCAGCACAGGGTTCTGGGTCCAAAGGGTTTGTTTCCCTTTTGGTCCTCTTTCTTTGTGATAACTGAAGTCCCACCCTATCCCAGGCACTTTCTTCTCATTTTATCTTTTGTGAAATAAAAGATTTACAGACCATACTTTAGAGAAACTGCTTCTTCATCAGAACTAAATAAGGATGTTACATCCCAGCTTAATACCTTTATAACTTAATACTTTTATACCTAGGGATCATTACCTAACCATTCTTAATTCTGCTTAATTAACATCATAAAGCCAGTCGTTAGCACTGAGTGGGTTCCCACTGATAGTAACCCTTCATCAGGAAACTCTATGAACTTGGATAAATAGATAGTTGTAGAGGGGTTTCAGGCCTTTTGTTCATAGGGTCGCTATGAGTCATGATTGACATGAAGGCAATCAACAACAACAACAAATAGCATTAGGAGGAGACTGCCTGCCTTTCTCCTAGTGAATGGCTGGTGCATTCAATCTACAGACCTTTCAACTGGCAGCGCCACATGTAATGAACCACAACACAAAGACTGCCACTAACATCATAGAGGTTAGGAGTTACAACACAAGGAATGATCACATTATTCTGAGATTCGTGGCCTAGCCAGGTTGACACATATTTTGAGGTGATGCAATTCATTCTATGGTGTGTATTTAAAAGCAAAGAGACTAAACGAAGAAAAGTATAAAGACTTGGCAAACACAAAACCAACACAAAAACAAGGAAATGAAATGAACAAATGAAAAGAAAACTCACAAACAACAAGAAATGGGGAGTGGCAGAATGGATTAAAAAACAAAACAACAACAACCAACAAACAGCCCATTAGTATGTGGTCTACAACAGACACACCTTAGATGACAAAATATAAATAAGCTGAAAAGAAAAAGATTGGAAAAATAAACCTAGCACAAGAACCAAAAAAAAAAAATCAGGGTGACAATCTTAGTAATCTCTGATAGAATGGAATTTATGACAAAATTCACCACAAAAGACAAAGGTGGGCATTATTTCATTATTAAAGAAAGTTCATGAAGAAGATGTAACCATAGTAAATGTTTTCACACTTAACGTATGAAAATATATGTTGGTGTTGGTGTTGGTGTTGGTGTTGGTGTTGGTGTTGGTGTTGGTGTTGGTGTTGGTGTTGTTAAGTGCCGTCAAGTCTCAGGCGACTCATAGCAACCCTATGAACGAAAGTCCTGGACACCTCTTGTATAACTTTCGTCCTCTCTCCGGGTTCATGTGGTTTCTGGAGGCAAGCTATTATGGAAGTGGATGGCACTCCTGCTTCCAAGCTTGTTTTAATCGGGGAGCTTCACCAAACACTGTCCACCATGGGTAACCATTCTCGCATTTGACTCATCAGTGTCACAGCGTTTGGTTTCACAGCAACCACGAGTTACCTCTGTACAGCAAATTATATAGCAAAGGATAACAGAGAGGTACGCAAGAATAAAAGACAATAGTAAATGTTTTAACATGGATAATCCTGCAGCGATAATAATAACAACAGTAATTTCTATTATGTAGGTAAATATTTATGCTAGGAAGCTCTGGTGGACTACTGATAAGGAGTTGGGCTGCCAATCCAAAGGCATGCTATCCGAATCCACTGGCTGTGCTGGGAAAGGAAGACAGGCAAGCTCCTCCCATGTAATTTAAACCCTTACCTCTGAAAAACCCTCTGCAGAGTCAGCTATGAGTGAATTCTGACTATGTAGTCAAGAGAGGTTTTACAGGAATACACGTAGCATACATATATAGGTATGTTTCTGTTTATTTCTAAAAATTTGCAAATGGCCTAGTGGCAAGAAGCTGTGCTACATTCCTGAAGGTACGTGGTTCAAATCCATCTCAGGAGAAGGATGGGCAGTCTTCTCCTGTCCCATCAACTGCTTCTGAAAACCCACTGAAGGGTCAGCTACAGGTCGATTCCAACTCAAAGGTACACAACAACTTACATTTACACAGATACATGTGTATATATTTAGAGCATGTACAGGGCACAGTTACAGAAACTTGGACATTGGGACTTGAAGGCTTGGGACTGCCTAGGTCAATTGACAGATAATAATTCATAAATATAATGTTCTGCATTCTATCCTGGTGAGTAGTGTCTGAGACCTTTAAAAGTTTGCAGGTGCCTATCTAAGGAGTGACTAGGGGTCTTCCTGGAGCAAAAGAGAGTGAAGAAAACCAAAGACTCAAGGAAACAATCAAAAGATCAGTAGCCACATGCACATAGCCTCCTCTAGCCTGAAGCCAGAAGAACTGGTGACTGATTACCACAAGCATCCTTTCCCACCGGGACCACAGTAGAAGGTCCCAGGGAAAATGATGCACAATTTTTTTTTTTTAATTCCAACTTTCTGGTCTGAGAAAGACTTGAGGAACAGCCCCACACACTCAATCTTCTAACTTGAAACTAAAGACCCTCCCAGAGTTCACCTTTCAGCCTGGAGATGTAGGGGCTAATATTAACGAGGAAGAATGTGCCCCTCAGAACAATCAACTGTATAAGCCAAAGTGCAACATGCATCCAAAACCAAAGATGAGAAGGCAGAAAGAGACTGAGAGACCAGAACGGAAACGGGGGACCTAGGAAGATAAAGAGAGTGCTGACGCCTTGAGACTGCAGCCAGTATTGTGGAACGTGTGTGTGAATTATTTATTGGAAAACTAATTTACTGTGTTAACTTTCACCTACAGTGAAATGTAATGTTCAAAAAGAATGAAGGACTATTGTGCACAGTCCCACTTAGCCACAGGAATCAGAGCTGCTGCCCAGTGATAGATGGCCACTATTTGGGGTTGTAAAAGGAGGTGGGGAGATGAGGAGTTCTTTCCATTTTGCACACAACGAAATTTAACCTGGAGTGCAAAAATTCTTTTTTTTTTCTTCCTAAGCTTTATTATTTTTTTAAGAATTTTAATGAGCATTTACAGAGATTTTGGATTTCCATTCATTCATTGCTGCACTTCTCTCCTCGCCCATCCCTCCCCCCCCCCAACCCAGTTCATTCCTCTCTTTCAAAAGTAAAACACTCCCTCCCTGGGACACAATCTCCCCACACCCCTCCCACCGCCCCAAGTACATTCCACTATGCAACCTTAATTGTGGACTCTTATGATAACCATAATACCCTATCATATATCGCTTTTAAATTATTCACTCCCTCATCTCTTTCAGTGCAGTATACACAATTTATCCAGTTTTTCTCAGTTTTACCCCAACCCTGATATCAGTCCCATTGTACAATAGTGGTACCATGCAATATTTGTCCTTTTGTGACTGAGATATTTCACTCATCATAATGTCCTCCAGGCTCACCCATTTTGAATAATATTGCATGAGTTCCTTGTTTTTCAATTGGAGTGCAAAAATTCTTAACGCCCTCCTCTCGCTTATACCACTCAATTGTATTTTCCTTTTTTTTTTTCACCAGACATAAAGCAAGACTGGTCAGACTTTGCCCTTTGGTGGGAGCAAAAGCGGTGCTGGCTTCTGAAAACCCACTGGACCCTGGACAAATGCGGGGTGCAGGCAGATGCAAAGCTCCTCTTCACCCCTCAGCATAAGATGCTTCGCCTCCGGCTGCCGAACATGAAGACAGTGAGACTGCGCGTTAGCTTCTCAGCTGTGGTTTTTAAAGCTGTCAGTGATATCTGCCGAACACTGAGTGAGTATGTGGAGGGGCCCGGGCCCTTAAGGCTCTCAGCAAAGGAGTCTAGCAAAATTACGGAGGCTTTCTGTGCATCCAAAGCAGATGACTTTAAACAACACTTGCCACACTATCAGCAAGCATACTTTTTAAAATATCATTTTTTCCATTGTTAAACATTTTCTTCCTTCCATCCTCTTCTCCTCCCCTAACCCACCCCTCAGTGTACTCCTTGCTCAAATTGTTGCCACACGTATAATGCCTAATAGTATATTCTTTTCAGACGGTTCTTCCCCTCATCTGTTCTAATGCAGTGTTCATTATCTGTCCATTCTTTTCCTATTCTCTAACTCCTCCACCTTTGTCCCATTTTACAATAACAGTGTCTGTCCTTTTGTGACTGAAGTATTTCACTTAGTATATAATGTCCTCGGGTCTTCTCCATGTTGTGTAATGTTTTACAAGCTCATTGTTTTTCAGTGCTGCATAATATTCCAGTGTGCGAATGTACCATAGTTTTTCTGTCCATTTGTTTGTTGATGGACACTTGGGTTCCTTTTGTGAATAACATAGCCATAATCATGGGTGTGCATGCATCTGTGTGAGTTGTGGCTCTGGTTTCTTTAGGGTGTATACTCAGTAGTGGAATTGCTGAGTCAAATGGTATTTCTTTTTCCAACTCTTTGAGAAAGCACCAAACCACCTTCCATAATGATTGCACCATTTTTACATTCCCACTAGCAGTGAATAAGGGTTCCAATCTCTCCACAACCTCACCAGCATTTGTTGTTTGCTGCCCTGCTTGGGTGAGATGATATCTCATAATTGTTTTCACAAGCATATATTTCAAGCCCCAGTTCTTGGTACTTTAGTCATTTAGATGAAATGGAATATTATTGGACTCAATCAAGTTCATTTCTACAAAGCCTGAAACTTTCAAAAGAGATTTGTAATTTCAGTGGGAAAAGGCATTAATATTACTCCTTCTCTCCCAAAATAATCTAAGGAATACTAAAGGAACGTTGATGGAGTAGTCCATTGGGAATTGTTCTGTTAACTCAAAGGCAGCCGTTCGAATCCACACTCCCACGGGAGAAAGTTGACCATTCTCCCCCCGTGTGATTTTTCAACCTAAGAAGCCCAATGAAGGGTCAGCTGTGAGTCAATAGGAAATTGCTTTTTTATATCTAATTTTAATTTGTGTATGTGCTCCATAAAGAAAACAGGCGGTGCAACCCCATGTTGTTTAACAGAAAGGGCAAGTTCATTGCCATTGAGTTTGGATGGCATACGTGTCTGAGGAGAACTGTGCACCATTGAGTTTTCAAATGGCTGTTTAAGCAGTAGATAGCCAGATCTTTCTTCCAAGGCTGTTCTGGATGAACCTGAACCATCACTCTTTCAGTTAGCAGCAAGCACATTAACTGCTTGCATCGCCCAGAGAACCAGCTCCTTGGTTGTTTAGAATAAAAATAAAATTCAAAAACTGAAAAACTGTTAATAATAGAACAATAAAATATTAGGTTGTCACAAAAGTAATGCAAGTTTTTAAACCTCAACTTTGAAAATCTATAACTCTGCTCGAATTTCATTTTATTAAATCAGAATAAGAACATTATGAAATAGGAACACATTTTTGCCAACAAGACAGAAGTTGGTTTGTCCCAAAAGCATAAAATTCCAGCATTCTGGAGTTGACAGATTCTCTGAAGGCGTTTTCAGTGACACTTCGTTGCTGAAGAGATTCCTTGCGAAAACTCGTGGAGATACTTGAAGACGTTAGTTGGTGAGAGGTCTGGTGGGTCCGCTGGATGAGGTGGAGTTTGGTAACAGACCAGTTCATTGAGCTTTTTGGAGCCGTGCTGTGTAGGAGGATTAGACCTTTTCTGTTTACCGAAGCCAGGCGCAAACACTGCAGATTTCCTTGCTGTGTTTCTCTCTGTAACTGTTTCATTCGGATTCAAGAAGTGGCTGCAGACCCACAAAAATCACTATGGCCTTTTTTCTGGTGGAAACTCGGATTTGGGGCAGTGATTCAAGGCTGTTAGTTGTCATTGTTAACCCTATTCAAGATAGCTCTGAACTTTATCTTAAACTAATCTCACTATCTATGACACACCTAACCTCATTACCCCAGTTACTGTGTCGTTCCATCTCATCCAGGGTCTTTCCTGTGTTCGTTGTCATAGAGGACCCATTTTTCATCACACGTTGCAATCCGACCAAAGGATCGTTTATATTGTGCAGAAGGAGCGCAGAGCAGGCTTCAGAGTGGTGATTGCTTTGATTTTCATTCAGTACCTGTTTGTCAAGCTTCTTCGCCTTTCCAGTTTGCTCCAAATAATGAGTGACCATTGAACGACAGACATGAAGTTTTCTGCAACTTCTCATGAAGTTTTGAGGGGATTAGCTTTGATTAGGGAGCTCTGGTGGCCTAGTGGCAAGAAGTTGCACTACAATCCCAAAAGCATGTGGTTCGAGGCCAGCAGCTGTTCCGTGGGAGAAAGATGGGCAATCCCTTCTCATGTGATTATCTGCCTCTGAAAACCCACCAGAGGATCCGCTATGGGCAAGTTCCGACTTAATAGTACGCAACCACAACACATTAGATTATCACCCTCAATAGGTCATTGTCAACTTCCAATAGCCACTCTTGACTGCTTTTATCTTCAAGTTCAAATTCATCACAGTGGGGTTTTTGAAAGCAACATTGTACTATGTGTACATTGACACTTCCCTTGCCCTAGACTTTATTGGTGTTTTGAGCTATCTGTGCTGCTCTGCCTCTGAGTTTGGTGGAAATCTTGTTATGGCATCCTATGATTTGTATCCTAAAAGATGCCGTTTATCTTTGAAGCCTACTGCACAGAAAGAATGAGTACAAAATTTGCTTTCCAATGATATGTAACATTTCAGATTTTTTACCATTTGATAATAAGATCTTTGGAAGCAGGAGTGGCATCCACTTTCTAAACCACATGCTTCTGGAAATTCTATGAACTTTGAGAAACAACAACAAATGTAGAAAGGCTTTAGGTTTGCTTGTTCATTGGGTTGCTATGAGTCTTGCTTGACTCAGTGGCAATGAACAGCAACAGTAAGATTTCTTTGGAAATTATTACATAAAGATCAAGCAACAAAAATCCTGGATTATTTAGTGTCATTCTTGGAGAAAGTGCAGCCAGAGTGCTGCTTAGAGGAAAGGCACTTTTGCCTCACCTGCTCTGGGCATGTCCATAGGTGGGGCCAGTTCCTGGAAAAAGACATTAGAGAGGGTCAGCAAAAGAGAAGCAGACCCTCAGCAAGGTAGACTGATGCAATGACTATGGCAATGGGCTCAAGTATATCAGAGATAGTGGGGATGGGGTTGGATGGGGCAGGTTCACATCCTTGGCTCATGGAGTTGCTCCAAGTCATGGTTGACCTTAACAGCACATAATAATAACAACAATAGCAACATTTTAGTAGTACTTGAACCTGAGTGATGAGCACAGAGAATAATTATAACTTCTCAATTTTATTATGATAATTATACCTTTTTTTTTCTTTTCCCCTCTACTTTTTCACATCTCTCCATAGCCTATCCAGTTGGGGATTCTTTTTTCCCTTTTCACTTTTTAAAAAAGGATGTCACTTTGTTCCCCCTCCTTCTTGAGAAATGGCTTCAAGTCTGTATAATGGCTTTGACTCTTAGAAGGAATTACCTTTTTATTTTCTTCAATTATTATTATTATTTCCTTTTAAGATATCAGAAGACCAGAAGAACTTTCTCTGTTAAAACCTTCTGCTGATTATTTTAAAAAGAAAAAGAAAAAAGATAAAAATAATAAAGAACCTGTAATTGAAGACGTTTTAAACCTGGAGAGTTCACCTACAACTTCTGGTTCACCAGGTAAGGTTGCTAACAGGTGTTTCGTTGCTTTCTTTGATGAACATAGAATTTCCTAAAACCTAAGGAAGACATTTTCCTCTCTCTCTTGAGTACTGTTACTCAAAGAAAGAAGACTAAAACTGCAGGATGGTAATGGTATGAAGAGGATTTCCAGCTAAGTTTAGCAATAATAATTTTTTTAATTCTTTTACTCAGCAAGGCCAACCTTGATAACTCATTGTCTTACCTGTATCTTTATGTCTCCTATGAATGCAAAATATTTGTACAACTGAATGAACTTGAAGTAAGATATCATGATAGTTAAAGAGTTATGTCTCGCAATTATACTTCTTTTTCTCTGATTCTGTCTGTGTACTGTCCTTTCTTGAATTATTTTGCATTAAGCATTTAATGGGAGGGAGGTGGAAATTCTGAAGAGGTATTTTTCCTTTCCTTTTAAATCCGAATAAGCAAATCTCTACCTTGTTTGGAACATTAGGGGTTTTCTTGCACAATACATCTCAAACAAAGATGTGTTTTTGCTTTCCTTGTGCAGACTTGAGCCAGTTGATTTATAAATCATTTACTGACTAGGATCTTGGAATGGGCAGGTGCTACTATTTATATTTGTTTAAAGGGTTTGTCCAAAAACATATTATGAGTCAAGACATTTTAAGAAACCATTCTACTCTTACCATTTTCAGTAATCACCTATCAGTATTTAAAACTTCTAAAAATACTTATAATTGTACTGATGACTTAGTGGCAAGGAATTGCACTGCCAGCACAAAGGTTTGTAGTTCGAATCCCCCTGTTTCTCGGTGGTAGAAAGATGGGCAGTCAGCTCCCCTGGAGTTTACTGCCTCTGAAAACCCACTGGAGGGTCAGCTATGGGTTGGCTCAGACTCAACAAATAGTATTTTATATAAGTGTTTACCTTTGGGATTTTTTGTTAATTTGTTTTAAATATTGCCCTGGAGGTCAGTTTGCACATACTTCTGCCTGCTCTGTGGTTCGTTTTGGGGGAGAATACTTTCATGGATACATCGTTGTAGTCTACAGTGATCTTCTACTTAAAGCCCCCTGTTTTACAATAATAATTGGTAACCAGTCTTGAAAAGAGAAAGCCTTTTTTTAAATTTAGAGAATACTTTATTAGTTTCTGTAATCAAACCCATGTAGATAAGACCTTACATATTTAATACAGTGTGTTACCCCTGTACAAATGGGAAGAAAAAATTTAACATTTCTAGACCAATATGGCTGTTAATTTCTGTACAATGCCAACTCAACACGGTACAACTGGGATACTTTTTCCAAAGTTGACAGCACAGCTAGTTTCCAAAAATTCAAATTATATATATATATATTTATATTTATATTTATATAAAAAGACCAATCGCAGTGTTTTATGCCTCAATAGCAGCAACAGCTTTTCCAGGCTCTGCAGTCATTGGAACAAAAATAATAGACATCCAGCACACTCCATTAAAAAAAAAGTACAAAACAAAAATCTCAGAAAACAGCAAAATTCTGTTACTGTTGTGGTACCTGGCACCAGTTTTTTTTTTTAAGCTTCTCAATCATCATCTGGAAAGAAAACATTCTAGAATAACATCATTTAAAAAAAAAAACAAAAACAGCTCTGATATAGCACGGTCACTATTACATATCATAAAGCAGGTACAAGATATTTTATATTCACAGAAGTATGATACAGTACGGTCCTACATCTATAATACTAGAGGATACAATTAAAAAGGCATTATTTGAGACTTGATTCTACTTTTCCAGCAGAGGGTCCAAAGGATGGTGTGACATAGCTCTGGTAGAGAAAGCCTTTTTAAAGGATGTGGGAATTTTTACTTTTGCTCTCTCTTGTCTGATTTTTTTTAAAAAGTTCTAATATTGACAATTTTAATTTTGTTTTCCCCAACCAGGAATATGCTTAACTCATCTACTACAATTAACTGCTCAATGCTGATCTTCTGCTGTTTAGATAACAACAGATTTGATCTGATCTGTTGCTTGTGATTCAGGCCAGGTCTTTTCCATCACTTGCTATGAATCTGAGAGCTGGACAATGAATAAAGATGACAGAGAATTGAAAAAAATATATATTATTTACATGCCTTCTTTGAGCCTTCTAGTTATCTTTCGTTACCAAACTATCTTGCTAACATGAGACGGCTTTGATGTCCTTGGGGGGAGATGTTTCCCAAGATTTGTCAGGGTTCATGTTTGGCACCTTGTACAGCCTTTGAGCTCTCAAGCTTCCCAAGATCTGAATATATCATAAGAACTTTCCCTGTGTAAAATTTCTCTCTCTACCCATCATAACCTGATATTTTCAGTAGTTGTTGTTATGTACCATCAAGTTGCTTGCAACTCATAGCGACTCTATGTACAACAGCTCTGAACTCTGCTCTATCTTGAGCCACTCTTATTGTCTCTGACACACCTACCCCCTTATCCCAGTCACTAAGTCAATCCATCTCATTCAGGGCCTTCCTTTCTTCCACCCTTCCCAGCATGATGTCCCTCTCCAAGGACTGGTCCCTTCTTGCGGCATGACCAAAGTATGTCAGACAGAGCTTCAAAATCCTTGTCTCCAAGAAGATTTCACCCTCTCCAGAACAAACCTGTTTGTTCTCCTAGAAGTCCATGGTATATTCAGTACTCTTCTCCAGCACCACAACTCAAAAGCATCAATTCTCCTTCTATAGTATATCTATTTCAATTCAAAATTCACTTAAATATAGGCAGTGTTAGCACTTATTTTTCTTACTTCTTGAATCTCATGGGAGAATGTTCTCTTTGCTTTGTAGTAAGTCCTGGTTTGTACAGTAAAACCATGACTCCTACATACGATCCCGTCAATGGAACGCCAGCATCCTCCACCATGACCTGGTTCAGCGACAGCCCTTTGGCCGAGCAGAGCTGCAGCATCCTTGCTATCAGCCAGCCCACCCAGTCACCAGAAGCGCTTGCTGACATGTACCAGCCTCGGTCTCTGGTTGATAAAGCCAAACTAAACGCAGGGTAAGGACATGGCTCTGTGATGTCTATCTCCAAACGCAGGTTGACAGAATACAAGGGATGCTACAGAAGAGGGAGAGTGGCAGTGTTTAGTTTTTCTTCTCCATTGACACAGTGACTAACAATGGGCTCACGCATGTCAGAAGTGATTAGAATGTTCCAGGCTAGGACAGGATTCAGATCCGTTATCCGTAGGGTCGCTACGAGTTGTGCTCAACTTGGCAGCACCTTTCAACAACAAGAATCATGAACTGTTAGCAAAAATCCTTGCTGATTTTTTTTTAGCAACAACAGAGAAAATAGGCAACGTTTGGTCATTTCAGTACACACATTTCCGCATTATAAACAAGATCCATTTCTGTGGGGTTTAGTGTTTGTTTTTTCCCCCTTTATGTTGTGAATTAAAAGATAAGGGTCTAAAGGGAAGATCCATTTTCCATTCAGCAGGTCCTACACATTTTAGGTGAAGGTTTACAGAGCAAACTGGTTTTTCTTTGAGTAATTCATACACATGGTTTTTATTATTATGAGTTAAAGTTTACAGAGCAGATTGATATGCGTGTCGTGTTTCATGACAGTGATTACAATCCCACATTGCATCATCGCACCTCCCACTATATTTCTGTGGTTCCTGCCTCCATTTCTACCTCCATCCTCTCCCTTCCTAACTTCTGAGCCTTATCCTTGTACAAGTGCCACTCCTAGGACCCTGTATGGTTAGGTGTTCTAAGAGCTGAGTATCTCCCTGGTGGTGTTTACCTTTTAGATTAGTCTGTTGTTGGGCTGAAATTGTGTGACAGGAGTAAGTTCTATCCTAGCCTCAAAGGGCAGATAAGCATTATAGTCTCAGGGGTTCAACCAGTCTCTATCAGGCCATTAAGGCTTGTTGTGATGTTGGGTTCATTCTATATTTATCTCCCACTCTAGCCAAGACCTTCTGTTGTGATCCCTTTTAGAACAGTTAGCACTTGTTCCTGGGAAGCATCTGGTTCTTCTGGCCTCAGAATCATTAAAGTTGGGGATCATAAGGTCCATTGTGGCTGTGCCCTCATTGTATCCTTGTATCTTTGATTTTCATCACCAGTGGCTGCCCCTTATACGGCCACTTGCAAATTTTTAAATGCCTCGTTGCTGCTCCCCACTGTAGAGTGTAGAGTGTGGTCTTTGTAGACTATATTTTGCCAGTTGACCTTGACGTTCACTTGAACTATGATCCTGCGATCCCATCCCAGTGACTTAGTCCCTCGGGGGGTTTGGTTTTCATTAAGAGATTTGTAGAATATTATCCTCTGTTGAGTTCATACGCGATTTATTTCATAATATTGATTGCAGTCGCCACAAAGCTCTATCTTGCATCTTCCTTCCCAATGTTCTCATTTCCACTCCTTCTCCTTTCCCTGATCCCTCCTGCCTTCTGAACTTTGTCCTTGGACATGTGCTGCCCTTTTGATCTGAAATGGTCATTTTCCTAAGGAATTCTTACCTCCCTCTTGTTTGTTTACCTTATAACCCTTATCACTGGCTGAGAACTGAGCTGTGAGAGTGGATACAATTCAGTATTTCTGGAAGGCAGCTAAGAGCTGTGGAGCCTGGGTCGTTGAACTTGTCTCTGCATGATCAGTAAGCCTGGTCATTTTTATGATTTTTTAGTTTGACCTCTTGGTTTTCTCCCACTCTGTCCGGAACCTTTTAATGTGACCCCTTTCAGAGCTGTTGGTAGTGTTAGCCCCTAGACTGATGTCACCAGGTGGTAGAACCATCTAGTCTCTTCCTCTTTTCTCAAGACATGGAGGCTGAAGATCACGGGGGGCATCAGTCCTTTGGACCAGTTCTTCTTTTTTATCTTTCTTTTCTTCCCTCCTTTTCCTATGGACAGATTACACCTCAGATGGCACCTGTAACCTTTTAGGATCCCAGTTACTATGCACCAAAGTAGGATGTAGAACATTTTCTTTGTGGACTATATTGAGCCTACAGACATCAATGTCCCCCAAAGATTATGATCCTAAGCCCCAATACCCAGTAGCACATTCTCACAAGATGTGGATAAAAATGTACATAACTTTGCTCCCTGTGTGTGCTACTTTATTCATTACCTTTTTGGTGGCAGATATAAAAATACCCAGTCAAATACCATACTTGTTCAAGGGTTTAGTCCCATTCTCCTTTCCACAGCTGTTCAGCTTGCATGTCTATCTGTACATCTGCTATTCAGAGATTACTGTTATTGCTAGCTTCTCATTCAAGACATGAACATAGATGTGAACACCTCTGTTTATTGCAGCGTTATTTACAGATGCAAAGAGTCCCGACAACTCAGATGTCCATTGACAGCCAGAGGGCTAAAGAAACTATGGCGTCTTCACACAGTGGAGCATCGTGCATCACTAAGAATCAACCCTTCATTAAATATTGGGGTAGGGGTGGGGTTTGGAGAGGTGCGAGGGGATTGTGTACCAATGAGGGAGTTTTTCTTTTGCTTTTCAAGGAGAGGAGCAAAGGGGGGAGAAAGGGGGAGGGGTTTGTGCGGGGCGAAGGGTGCAACAATGAATGAATGAAATTCCAAAATCTCTGTAGATGTTCATTGAAATGAAAAATAAACTAAATTTAAAAAATAATTTAAAAAATTTAAAAAAAATATTGTACAACATGAAATAAGAATCAACCCTTCATTAAATGTTGTACAACATGAAATAAGAATCCTTCATTAAATTTGTACAACATGAAATAAGAATCAATCCATTAAATATTGTACAACATGAAATAAGAATCAATCCTCCATTAAATATTGTACAACATGAAATAAGAATCAATCCTTCATTAAATATTGTACAACATGAAATAAGAATCAATCCTTCATTAAATATTGTACAACATGAAAGAATCCAGGACAAATTATGCTGAGTGACATAAATCGCAAAAGGACAGTTACAGCAGGAAGTCATCATTATAAAAAATGAAGGAAAAATCTATACACAGAACCTTCCTTGATGGTTACTAGGGATGAGAAGGGAGAGAAAGAAGAGAGTAGCAATTGCAAAAACGACTGACCCAGCTCCCACTTAAAACTATTCACCACAATAAATACAATACGTATAATAAATAATTATGTTGAGGCAATATTCAAGAAAGAGTTTATTAGACATGCTTAATTATTTACCATACATTAATCAATTGTAATTTTCTGGTACAAAACAAAATGTCTGTGAATGATTAAATGAAAAATAATGATTTGTGAACTTTCACTCTAAAAGAATTTCTAGAACACATTTGTAGATCAATTGGAACAAACACATAGAGTTCTTATTTAGCCCCAGTTAAGTGCAAGAAGGAACCGTGATGGCATAGTAAGTTAAGAGTTGGGCTGGTAACAAAAAAATGTTCAGTAGATCAAACCCGCCTGTTTTAAAGAAGAGTCAGAATGCTCCCATTAAGATTTACATCCCCAAAACAAAGATGAGATATCATCTCATCCCAGTAAGAATAGCAAAACTTAGCAGAACAGCAAACATCAAATGCTGATGAGGTTTGTGGAGAAACTAGAACCCTAATTCACTGTTGGTGGGAGTGTAAAATGGTGCAACCACTATGGAAGGCAGTATGGTGCTTTCTCAAAAAGTTGCAAATAGAAATACCATTTGACCCAGCAATTCCACTACTGGGAATTTACCCTAAAGAAACCATAACTGCCACTCAAGCTGATATATGCACACCCATGTTTTTTGTGGCTTTGTTGTAATAGCAACGAGCTGGAAACAACCCAAGTGCCCATTAACCAACAAATGGATAGAGAAGCTCTGGTATAATCACACTATGGAATACCATGCAGCGTTGAAAAACAAGGAACTCATGAAATATTATGCAAGATGGATGACCCTGGAAGACATTATGCTGAGTGAAATATCTCAGTCACAAAAGGACAAATATTGCATAGGTCCACTGTTGTGAAACGGGACTGACATCAGGTTGAGGGAAGACAGAGAAGGAGGGGAGGAATGAAGTAGTTTCCATTGCAACAGATGAGGAAGAGAACTGTTTAAAAGGGACGTATGAATGGGTATTCTTGTCATTACAGAAGTCCAAAGTGAAGGCTGCACAGTGGAGTGGACTTAGGGGGGGGATTGCATAACAATGAAAGAGTTTTTCTTTTTCTTTTCAAAGAGAAGAGTGAATTGGGGGGAAGGAGGGGAGGGAGAAAAGTGCAGCAATGAATGAATGGAAACCCTAAGTCTCTGTAAACTTTCATTAAAATTAATTTAAAAAAAAAAGATTTACATCCCATTAAGTTTTTAGATCCCGTTAAGATTTACAGCCTCAGAAACCCAATGGGGCCGTGCTATTTTGTCCTGTAAAGTCACTACGCATCAGAATTGACTTGACAACTGTGAATTTCATTTTTAGTGCAACAAAAGGCTCAATGTCTTTTTTTTTCAGCTATTTAAAAGATACATGTGCTACTTGTGAAGGTGATTGTGGTGAAGAATTTCTTTTGAATGGGAGCTGGCTCAGTCATTTTCATAATGAGGGCAAATATACATAAACCGAAAACTGACTTTGAGCCAAAACCTCTCTGCCCTGCTCAAAGATGGCGGCCCCTCACTCCAGCCTGGTGGCCACACAGGCATGAGAGGCAATGTGGAGTCGAGAGACACAGGCTCTCTCACTCTGGCTCCACCACAGACATGACATGTGACCTTAATGAAGCGTGTTGTGAGAGTCACTGAAAACCACTTTCCTCACCTGCAAAGCTCACCTTGCAGGGAATCTGTTAACTCTTGCACGGAGTTATTTTAAAGTGCACTGAGGAAAAAAAAAATAAAAGTGAAAAGTATTTTTAAAATTTTAAGGTAAAAATGCAAATATAAGTGATTATCAGTTACTCTCCTTACTGATTTTTGTTGTTGTTGTTGCTGCTGTTGTTTGGGGGATGGCATTCCTTTTTTAAAAAATTAATTTTAACGAAAGTTTACAAATACTTTGGATTTCCATTCATTCATTGTTGCATTTTTCTCCCTGCCCACCACTCCCCCACAATTCACTCTTCTCTTTGAAAAGTAAAAGAAAAATTATTTCATTGTTATATAATCCCTCCCCCCAAAGCCACCTCACTATGCAGCCTTCATTCTGGAATCCTGTCATGACAATAATACCTAATTGTATACCCCTTGTAAACAGTTCTCTCCCTCATCTGTTTCAATGCAGTATACATAATTTATCTAATCTTTCTCAGTCTCCCCCCAACCCCAATGCAAGTCCCGTTTTACAACAGTGGCACTATGCAGTCCTTTTGTGACTGAGATATTTCACTCAGGATAATGCCCTCCAGGGTCACCCATTTTGTATAATATTTCATGAGTTCCTTGGTTCAAGTCCATCAATTAACGTTGGGGCAGTTGGAGTCAGTGAAGACGTAGAGCGTCGGAAACCCTCTGTGGCGATTCTGCTCTGTCCTGCAGGGTCCTAATGTGTCAGAACCGACCCAGTGGCTGGGGTACTGGCTTTTTTCCTTTCTTTACTCTGATTTTATTCACGGTTCTTCATATGAGGCTAACTTTTCAAACCCACCCCTTTGCTTTCTAGTTGGCTGGACTCCTCGCGCTCCCTCATGGAACAAGGGATCCGGGAGGATGAGCAGCTGCTGTTGCGATTTAAATATTACACTTTTTTCGACTTGAATCCCAAAGTAAGATATTTTCTCTGTTTTTTTTTAATATGAATACACAATAAATGCAAGAGAGTCATTTCATTTATTATACTATAATTAAATTGTGTAACATTCTGTCTGCTTCAGGGTTAGACTGATGGCTAGTATAATTCCCTCTGAATTTTTGTCTCCTGGTTTCTGTTAAGCATAGTAAGTGAGCTGCCCTCGGCAAGCCAGCCAGGGTCCCGAGGGATCAGCAAGGAACAGTATTCCTCTCATTCACAGGAATGAAGGAACAAGAGGGCAGCAGCCCACAAAGATCAACCATTACAGAGGACAGTAGTCAGGGCCAAGGCCATGGACAGGGTCTCTTAAATAAGTCAAGGCTACATGATGTTGCAGACAAGATTTCGCATCAAAGTATTCAACTCACCACTGATAAGAAAGAGGGATTATCTATACAAATAACCCAATATGGTCACCAAAGCCCATTTTTTTAGTTTGTTTTTTTAATTTTGGTAAAATTTAGAAAATAAAACCTTCACCTGTTCAGGAAAGAAAAAAAAAACAAAATCCTTGCCTCCAACGAACAGCTCAGCTTCACCCTTTCCAGGACAGACCTGTTTGTTCTATTGGTAGTCAATACTCAATGCTCTTCTCCAGAACCACAACTCATAGGCATCAGTTCTTTTCTCTTTGGTCGTTGTCCAGTTCTCAGATGCCTAAAATGTAATTGCAAAGACTGTGGCCTGGATCAGGCACATCCTAGTCTCTTGACTGGCATTGTTACTCTTTAGCACTCTGGAGAGGTCCTGGACAGTAGAGATTCCTAATGCAATCCGTCTTTTGATTTCCTGCCTGCTGGTGCCAAGAGTGTTGATTGTGAATTAAGCCCATTTTTTAAGTGCACCTCACACACATGAAGTTTAATAGGACGACTAATAAGTAAGTGCTGAAATAATTTCTTCGTCGTGCTGTGAGTCAGCAGTTAAATGACCCAAATGTCAGATGTGTAAACTGAGTCACCAGTCCTTAGATCAGGGGGTGACTCCATAGTGCCATTTTATATCCCAGTTTTGCCCTTGTTACTGATTCTCGTTTACTAAGGAGCTTGCCTTGTATAACTCTTTTTGCAGACACTGTCTCATTAGCATCAGTCAAAGCATTTCCTTCTGGAAAGGTGTGCTGAAGTCTCCACTTCCACGCTCCCCCCACCACCACAAATGCTAGTTAGATTGTACGCTGCAGTCTAGGGAGTGTCTCTGATTGTCAGAGAAGTGGACGGGTTGTAGAATGAAAGTAACAGGTGTTAGTAAAAATAGCAAAATCTGAAAGTATAAAACAAACCATTTTTAAAATAATACAGAATCATCAAAATCCATAAAAGAAGAGATTAGTATAGTTCAATGGCAAATGAGTTATGGTGCTGGAAAAAAAGTCTTAAACATACCATGGACTGCCAAGAAAACAAATAGGTCTGTCTTCGAGAGGGTGAAACCAAGTCTCTCCTTGGAGGCTAGGATTTTGAAGCTCCATTTTACATACCTGGGCACGTGGCCAGAAGGGACTAATCCACGGAGAAGGACATCATACTCAGAAAGGAGGACGGACAGTGCAGGAGAGGAAGATTGCAGATGAGATGGATTGATACAGTAACTGGAGTAATGAGGGTAGGTGTGCCGGAGTCAGTAAGACCAGCTCAGAACAAGGCAGGCTCCAGAACTATTGTACATAGGGTCGCTATGAACCACAGGCAGCTTGACAGCACATAACAACGTGTGTGTGTGTGTGTGTGTGTGTGTGTGTGTTATTGTTGTTGATTTCCTTCTATTTGAGCACGACCTATAGTGACCCAATGAACAAAAGACCTGAAGCCTTTCTATAACTATCAACATTTACCAAAGTTCATAGAGTTTCCAGAGGCCTGGTGTTTAGGAAGTGGATGTCACTCTTGCTTCCAGATATATAACTTCTTGCAACATCTATTACATACCAAAAGCTAATTTCCTTAATATATAAAAGGTTCTTACAAATCGATAGAAAAAGCCAACGTTTGCTTTTAAAGAAAGCAAAGATGTAAACAAAACTGTTCATACAAATGGTATGAATTTTTGTATGTTGGCAAAGACCACATAGTTTCTCACACTATCTTAACAGGAGTGTGGAAAAACAGGTTTTCTCAAAACAGTGTTTGTAGGTCAAAGTACAAATGAACCTAGCCACTAAGGAAGGCAATATATCAAAATTACAGTCCTTAGCTGCTAAAATTACAGTACCTTTGACCCACCAAATGCACTCCACTAGGTATTCATACCACATTTATGCACAGAATCTGCTGTGTATTCACACAAGGATAGTTGAAAAGATTGGAAACTACCTAAATGTCGGTCAATAAAAAGCTAGTTAATTACATGATGGTATACAGAGTGTTGTTGCTGAAAACAATGAATCCATTCTCTTGATTTGGAATATAACAAGGCCAATTATTATAGAGGGCAAGGGTAGGAGGAAGCAAAGTACAAAAGAGACCATAGAGAAACTATCTACCACCGCTAGTAAGAAAGGGAGGGCAACTTGCTTTTTATTGTACACTTGTTTGTTCTTTTGCTTTCAAAGTTAATCCAGTCATTGTGTATTCTTTTAGAACCTTTTACATATATTTCAAAGGTATATCTTTTTAAAACATTTTTTAAATTCTGATACTTCACAGCATTTTAAAATATTAGAAGAGAAACAGCACATTACTTTTCGTTTAAAAAGCCTGGTTATAATACTGATTATAAACCATGTAATTTTCTCTTATGTCTTTTGAACTGGGCTTCTTGATTATGTATGTGTTTTGCATGAGCATAATTAAATATTCTGGAATTCTCTTTCTTCTTTGTATTGCACATAATTTTAAATGGTCTAGCTGCCAGGAAATTAAAAGACGAATTGCATTGGGGAAGTATTCTGTCAGAGATCTCTCCAAAGTACTGAAGAGCAATGATGTCAGTCTGGAGATTAAGGTGTACCTGATCCAGGCCATAGTCTTTGCCATTACTTGCTATGAGTCAGAAAGCTGGAAAATGACTAGGGATCATAGAAGGAGAATTGATGCCTTTGAGCTGTGATGCTGGAGAAGAGTTTTAAATATACCATGGACTGCTAGGAGAACAAATAGGTTCGTCCTGGAGAAGAGGGTGAGACCAGACTGCTCCTTAGAGGCAAGGACTCTGAAGCTTCATCTGAAATATTTTAGACATGTTGCAAGGTGGGACCAGTCCTTGGAGAGGGACATCATGCTTCGGAGGGTGGAGGGAGAGTGCAAGAGAAGAAGACGCTTAATTAGATGGATTGATTCAGTGAATGGGGGCAGGTGTGTCAGAGACAATGAGATTGGCACAGGATAGAGCAGGATTTAGGGCTGTTGTACATAGGGTTGCTATGAGTCGCAGGCGACTCGACGGCACATAACAACAACAACAAATATGGTCTGCACAATTGAATGCCTTTGCACAGTCAATAAAACGCAAGTAAACATCTTTCTAAAATTCTCTGTGTTCAGCTAAGATTGCCCTGGCAGTTCCCTGATGTACTTTAACAATCTCCAGGAAGATTTTACCTGCAATTGATATTATTCTATAATTTCTGCCATCTATTGGAGCATCTCTTTTTTAATGAATCTTTTCTAGTTGGCCAGGTAGCTGTCATCCAAATTTCTTGGCATAGACAAGTGAGAACATCCAGAGCACATCTGTTTGCTGAAACAACTCACTAGGCATTTTGTCAATTACTAGAACCTTATTGTTGGCCAAAACCTTACATCTTGGACTTCTGCTTTCAGAACCATTCTTTCTTTTTTAAAATAAAAATTTTAGTTTATATTGATTTACTTACAAAATTTGTATACAGTGTTTTTCACACCAAATCTTTCCCACTTCCTTTACTCATTCCTTTCTCTACTCATCAAATTGTGTTTACTCCCCACCCCCTGACCCTCCTACCCCCTCTGCTCCCAACCTGCCCCCTTTTGATCCTCATACACATTTAATAGTTATCTTTCTAGTTCTACAATAACGATCTTATACAAGTATTTGTCTTTATGGGACTGAGTTAGCTTAGCATAATGCTCTCCAGTCCCTAACAAATTACGTTGTGATTTTCAAAATCATTGCACCTACTACGGTATTCCATTGTGTGAATGTATCCTCATTTCTCAATCTGTTTGATTGTGTTGGACATGTGGGCTGTTTCCATGCTCTTGAAATGGTGAATAAGGCTGCTAGTAAACTGGTGTACAAGTCTCCCTTTGTGTCTCAGTCCTCATTCTCTCAGGTTAGATTCCAAGCAGTGGAATATAGAGGTCATATGGAATTTCTATGTTCAGCTTTTTGAGGAAGCACCAAACTGACTTCCAGAATGATTGGACCACTCTGGATCAGATACTATGACTTCTTGAAGTATTTCAACATTAACTAATTCTTTTTGTTGTTGTTGCTGTTACTCTGACTCTGTATTCCTCTCATCTTCTGATGCTTGCTGCATCTTTCACTCTTTTGTTTATAGAATCTTTCCATACTGCAACTCAAGGCTTAATTTTTATCTCAGTTCTTTCAGCTTGAGACATGTCAAGTATGTTCTTCCCTTTTGGTTTTCCGACTTCAGGTCTCTTCCTATTTGATTGTAAGTTCAAAAGGAAAGCGAAGCTCGTGCTACTCAACTCAGAAGAGTCTTACTTCTGTAATACACAGAACGTTGCACTACAAACTGGAAGGTTAGGAGTTTGGATCCGCCAGCTGTTTGGATTCGGTTGTTTCTCCTTTCACTCAGAATAAAGATGGGCCATCTTCTCCTGAGATAAATCTGTCCCTTGGAAATCCATTGGAAGCTCACTGTGAGTCAGAATCGAATCAACAGCAGCGAGCTCAGTGGTTTTGGAATCAACTCATGATGATCTGTTGCAGCGCCCTGCGCGTCCTTTGATTCCTTCTCTATGTTTCATCATCATCATCATCATCATCATCATTATTATTAATTATTTTCTTAAAAGGTTTAACTTCCCAGTAGTATCTGAAGATATAATTGTTTGGCAAAGTAGGTCAACGAAAGAGAGGAATACCTGCCTCATTACTGGCCACTCAGAGTACCATTTCTACTGCCTGGGTTTTGTACTCATAAACATTTTCTAGTGGAAAAACATAGTGACTACCAAATGAGGCATTCTTTGAGGATATGCTGAAAATATTTTGGGGAAAGAGTTTTCATTTGGAAACAGAACAAGGTGGACGATGAGAAGGTAGACATATGTCTTTCCGTTTCTTGTCCTTAAGCTTACTGAGTCTGATTAAAAGAATCGCAGTCTCCTCCTGTGGGATTTAGTGCCTCTGGAAACTCACTAGAGGGTCAGTTGGTTCCAACTCAATGGTGCGTAACAACAAAAAGCATGCCGGGAAATGTAAAGAGAGCAAACAGGTCTACCCTGGAGAAAGAAAAACTGGAGTGCTGTTTGGAGGCAAGGATGTGGTAGAATTCCTTCTTACACACTTTGGACGTGTTGTAAGGAGAGGTCAGCCCTTGTAGAACAGGTAGCTTGGACAGGTCAGTGCAAGAGAAGACGACCTTTGATGAGATGGATTGACACAGTCACTGTGCAGTGGAGTCAGGTGTGTCACGGATGGTGAGGCTGGCTCAAGACAGTACGGGATTCAGAGCCATTGTTGCAATGAGTTGACTTGATGACACTTAACAACATTAATTGTAAGTCTGTTTTCTGCCTTAATTACACTATGGTCTCTTACACACACACACACACACACACACACACACAAGTCTTAGGATGGTGCCAATTAGAATATCCCAGAATTTTTGTCCATGGAATGTAACCCTAACCTCCCACATGCACCTGTTTGTGTCTACAGTATGATGCTGTCCGGATAAACCAACTCTATGAGCAAGCCAGGTGGTCCATTCTCTTGGAAGAAATCGACTGTACAGAAGAAGAGATGTTGATCTTTGCCGCATTACAGGTACAGAAAGGCAGTCTTTTCTCTGGTAAGAGATGAGACAGTGCATTTTAATTAACATTTTTTTATTTTCTACTCTTTCTTTGATTAAGAAGTGAAAACGAAGGCAGCCTGTTTCAATTTAAAATGTTTGTCTTCATCCACATATGATAAGATATAAGACTTCTAGCCCTGCTTTCTTCCTAATGACACACACAAGCAGTATGGGGAAGAATACCGCTTCCACATAACTAACCATCAGTCTGGTGACTTAGTGGTAAGGAGTTGCCTTGCCAGCCTAAAGGCACATGGTTTGAATCCACTAACTGCTCCTTGGGAGAAAGATGGGAAGTCTCCAGCCATGCGATTCACTGCCTCTGAAGACTCACTGAAAGGTCGTCCATGAGTCAGTTCCAACTCAATGGTACATAATAACAAAACAACAACCATAAATCTTAGAATGACACCAATTAGAGTATCATTTTCCATACATATTTTAAGAGATGTGCCTTCCTCTCAAAGAGGAAGAAAGGGCTGAGGGGTTTATTTGTGTTTGTAACGTCTCTATAACTTGTGTTTTCATCTTAGTATCACATCAGCAAACTGTCATTGTCAACTGACATCCAGGATTTCACAAATGAGTCTGAGGTTGATGAAGTGGAAGCAGCTCTTTCTAATCTGGAAGTCACCCTCGAAGGTGGAAAAGCAGACAGCGCTTTGGTGTGGATTTCTCTGATAATTCGTAATGGTGGTGGTGGTCAGCTTGACTGGCAAATAGGGATGAACTAGGGGCGCCTTTTCTTTGTCTTCTTTTTTTTTTTTTTTTGCTTTAAAATATTGTAAGACAATATTTTATCTGATTCTGGAAAAGAAAAAAAAAATTCTCTTCTTCTGATCAAAACTTAGACCTAGTGAGAACCAAGTTTTTTGTTTGGTTTTTTTTTTCTTTTTTTAATTATTAATCCATTTTAATGAAAATTTACAGAGATTTTGGATTTCCATTCATTCATTGTTGCACTTTTCTCCCTGCCCACCCCTCCCCTCCAGTTTGTTCTTCTCCTTGAAAAGTAAAAGAAAAATTCTTTTATTCTTTTACAATCCCTTCCCCCAAGTCCACTCCACTTTACAGCCTTTCGAGAACTAAGTTTTATCAGCCAAACTCTGTAAGGGACTATTCAACCAAATAAGTTCTTACCAAGTCACTGTCAATTAATGATGCATTTCATTACTTTAAATAGAAAATTTGTGTTGCATAAAAGCGAATAGTTAACACAAATGCCACTATTCCGAGCCCTGTCTTACATTTATAGCAGATGGGGGTCTCATGACAAAAGAGTTGTATTTTTTCATGTCTTTAACTGAGTAGCTACAACACAGCAGGACAATAATGCTTCTTTAGAATAAATTAAATCTCCCTTCCTCTCTCCCTGGATATTTTTCTATGATGGTCAACAGTAGACTTTTCAGTTTGAAAACAAGCCCCAACATATATTTCAAAATGAACTATGAACTACATTTCTTTTGCAGGTTTAATCAGTGAATTAGATGTAGCTACTCTCATGGGGAAAACTGTAAAATACTTTGTCTATAAAAGTAGTTGTTTCTTACTCAAAGCTTTAACTTAAATGGTGTGTACAGGAGTACACAAAGGAGTGTACAAGGTCAATGTCCTAAACTGTTTTGGTTTCTTTCATTTTTTAAGATCCGTGACTAAATAAACTAGACAACCGTGGGCTTAATGGGTCCAGCTTCACAAATGTAGAGCTGAATGGTCAGCCAGGTCACCACTCAAGCCAAGAAATAGAACTTGGCCAGCCCCCCAGAAGCCCACGGACCCCACACCCAAGCCTTCTCCTTTCTCCTTAAGGTCATAGAATTAAATGTGGCTAATGAGACAAAGGAATTGATTTGTTTTCCTTTTCTTTAATCAATTTGAATTGAAATCGCTACATTTGAGTAGGAGCTACTGAATTGGACAGTGCAGATATAAAATATCAGTACCATCTCTAAAACGACTGCTCATGAAATATTATTTGGGTTTTCCCCCCTTAGGAGGACATTACTGATATCCCTAAGCTTGCAGATAATCTCAAGTTACATAGGTAAGTAGCCCTAGAGGACCCGTCAGAGCTGGGCACGGCCTCTGGGTTGGCAGAACAGCTCACTGTGCTCACAGCCACCGAGCTCCATCCTGTGTGATTTACAGCCTCCCAGACCCATTGGAGGCTGGGCTGTGCATTGGTCCCAACTCGCCAGCAGTGAGAACCCTAAAGGGGTGGAGGGACCACCTCTAACAAAGTCTAACGCATGCAGGGGCTGAGGGTGTAAGCAACACATCAGTTGTGCAGCTTCATGGTTCACTGGCTTTGGTTTCAAGCAGCTTGGTCGCAAAAGTACACACTAGCCTTGAGTCATATTGTCACACCTTGAGCCTCAGTTTTTTAATCTGTACAATGAGCATATGCTTCCTTTAGGTTTATTGGGAAGATTAAGTAAGGTGATATACACAAAACACTTAACATGGTCCCTGGCTCATTGTACACGCTCAACAAACAGTGGTTTATGATTGGCATCCTCAATAACGAATGTATTAAGACTGGAGTACAGGCTAGAAATTGAGGTGCAGCTGAGAGGTTCAGGACTCTGACACCATTTGAAGGCCGTTTCATAGTTTCAAAATCAGTCATAGCTAGAGCTTTGATCGTCCGGAGCATTGCTGCCATATTTTATTTCCTTTTACTCATATAAGTGCTTCCGATAAGCCTTCTAGTCACTTCAAATTGATCTGAAACTTTCAAAAGGCTGAGCAATTTTTTTTCCTTGGAAATAAGGGGCCGCCACATTTAATGGCAAAGCCAAGGTGTCCTGGCAGCAAGACAGTAAGACTTCTTTGAAGTCCTATCAGTTACTCTGTCACTTTATGATTTGTTGACTTTTCTCAACAAACCGAAACTTGGCCGAAGGTAACTGCTTTCAAAAGAAACACCGGTCACTTTTGATAAAGACAAGGGAAGACTTGGAAAGAATGAACAATGGATGAGGTACAAATAAGAAACAAGTGTCTGACGGTAACATATCTGTCACTAAGTTTCAGCAAGCTTTGGGGTTTTTTTGTTTGTTTGTTTGTTTGGGGGTGTTTTTTGTTTATTTTTTAGGATTGTTGCTATTGTTTGTTTCTCCTTGGTTGATTGGCTTTGGGTTGTTTTTTTTTTTTCTTAAATAATAGGGTCATAATTTAGCTTCTGTGACATAAAAATAATAGCAATCTCAAATTAGTTATGTTGTAATTGGAGCCATGAGAAGCGGAATGTAACAATTTGAATCTGCAACTATATCTTTCTGAAATATTAATAATTGTTATATCAAGAAATTAGACTACCATGTTATCCATAAACAGAAGATCTAGCTTTTCTTTTTTTTTAAGTTTTCTTATTTTGTGTGCGTACAGTCAAATCAGATCTCACTGGTACAAGAGGAGATTGCCCCTCCTTCTCCAGCAGAGCATCTGGTGGATTCGAACCGCATACCTCTGGGATTGCAGTGCAGCTTCTTGCCACTAAGCCACCAGAGCTCCCTAAGATCTAGCTTTTCATGAACAAAAGTATGGCAGCCTCGTCGCTGTAGATGCTTTTGATGAAGGAAGGAGTGTCAACCCCAACGTCCATGTCAGCCGTCTGCTACTGTGAACTATCACGGGCTTTGGTGTGAGTGTTATACTCAGATTCACAAAGTTATCCTTGCACATGGACACTTCCTCTAGAGGTCTGGAGATGTGAAATTTAACATGTGGGCCCCTGTGTTCTAAATCTATGCTTTAACCTCTATGTCCCATATCAAAATGGTGGCTTGGTGCTAAGAAGTCACACTGCCAACCCAAAGGCACATGGTTCGAATCAACTAGGAGCTCCATGAGGGACTTCTGGTGGCCTAGCTGCAAGAAGCAATGCTACAGTCCTGAAGGCACACAGTTTGGGGTCTCCAGCTGCCCCACGGGAGAAAGTTGGGCAGTCTCCTCCCATGCAATTAGTTGCTTCTGAAAACCCACCTGAGGGTCAGCTTTACACTCGGTATTTTACGCATGCTGACTTAGTTCTGACTTGACATAACAACAGCTCATGGAAAACTCATTTTTTAACTTCAGAGCCGTTTTCATTTTCACAATAGAGTAGATGGTACACAAGGGCCTCTAGAGAAACTGAATTTGCTTGAAATTTCCAACATCTTCTGTATTTCCAGATGACTGCTTAAATGCTTATTGTTTTCTAATTTGCAGGCCCAAGAAGCTAATATTAAAAGCTTTCAAACAATACTGGTTCGTCTTTAAGGACACATCTATAGCCTACTTTAAAAATAAAGAGCTTGAACAAGGAGAACCAGTAGAAAAACTGAATCTTAGAGGTAAGTGTCACTGTGTCAGTCCATCTCACTGAGGGTCTTCCTCTTTTTTTGCTGACCCCCCACCTTCCCATCATGATGTCCCTTTCCTGGGTCCCCAAAGAATAGCCTCTCTGAACAACATACCCCAAAGGATGTGAGGCGAAGCATCACCATCTTCGCCTCCAGGGAGCATTCTGACTGCACTTTTTCCAGGACATACTTGTTTGTTTTTTTTGGCAGTCTGTGGAGATGTGCCCAACGCCAGCACCACAATTCAAAAGCACCCATTCTTCTGTCATCTTTAATCATTGTTCAGCTCTCAGTAAGTGACTGAAAAGTGACTGAACAGTGTGGGTCAGGTGCACCTTAGTCTTCAAACTTAACATATTGCTCCTCAGTAATTTGGAGGAATACTCTGGGCACGTGGTCAGGAGATACCGGTCCTCGGAGAAGGACATCATGCTCGGAAGGGTAGAGGGACAGCACCGGAAATGAAGACCCCCCCCCCAATAAGATGGATTGATCCAGTGACTGGGGCAGTGGGAGTTGGTGTGTTGGAATTAGTGAGACTGGCTTAGGACAGGGCAGGGTTCAGAACTGCTGTACATAGGATCTCTGTGGGTCACAGGTGACTTGATGGCACATAACACCAATAACTCTCTATTAATAAAACTGTTTCATCAACCAGTTCAATCAAGTCCCTTATCATGGTGGCAAAGAATTCCGTGTCGGAATCAGTGAGACTGACTCAGGACATGACAGGCTTCAGAGCTGTTGTCCATCGAGCCTCTATGAGTCACAGGCAACTCGACAGCGCATAACAACAACAAAAGTTCCTATAAGTTAGGTTAGCTAATATCTAACATTTTAATTGAAGAAAATCATCAAAGAAAAAAAATTTTTTCCATACCTGTTTTAATTGTTTGTAAACCAAAAGCCTCTTTCTGTTGAGTCCGTTGTGGTGCGTGGTGACTCTGTAGGGCAGAGAACTGTCCCCTGGGTTTCCACAGTTGTGATCTTTGTAGATGTAAACTGCCACATTTTACTCCCGTTCTGGAGCGACTGGTGTATTTGAATCAACAACCTTTCAGTCAGCAGCCGATTGCTTAACTGGTCCATCGCCAGGGTTCCTTCTGTCTCGTAAGCCTTGCTAACTGATGGCATCAGCTTGTTCCTCCATTTTCCTGAGAGGCTTATGTTCAAAGTTCGCATTTTAGATGCACAACCTGTATGTGTATAAAAGGCCTCATTTCTGCCCCTGCTTTCGGTCATTCAGGCTGTGAAGTTGTGCCTGACGTGAACGTGGCGGGGAGAAAATTTGGAATCAAGTTACTAATCCCTGTAGCTGATGGAATGAATGAAGTGTATCTGAGATGTGACCACGTAAGTAAAACAACAAAATTGTTACATCACTTCGCCCTTTCTTAAGTTCAAGGGCAAAGCACATGGCGTGTTTTCTCAAAGCAGAGCACTCCTGTATCACTCAGCTATTGCTTTGTAAAACCACCTACAAAGTCACAACTCCATGTAATCATAACCCTGTGTTTCTAAAACGTCTACAGGTGGCTCGGGGTTGAATTTGAATGGCTCGGACTACAGTATTTTTGCACAAATAATGTGCACCTCCTACATTTGTTTACCATTTCTGACCTTCCCCAGGAAGTATTTTCATAAATACTGTTAATACTGCTGTGCCTTTTATTTATTTCATCGAGTCAAGCACGACTCATCACGACCCTATGAACAAAAGGCCTGAAGCCTTTGTATAACTATCGTCATTTATCAAAGTTCATAGAGTTTCCAGAGGCATATTGTTTAGGAAGTGGATACCACTCCTGCTTCCATGTATATGTATATGGAGGTGGGGGGTATACTGGTTTATTTGCAAAGTTCATGTATATTGTTTTTCACAACGGAACTTTCCCATTTGCTTCACCCACCCCTCCCTCCACTCGTCAAATTTTGAGACCCTACGATTGACTACTCCTTCCCCCGCCCATCCTCATCCCTCTGCTCCCCTTCACCTCCCACCCACTGAATCCTCATACTTGTTCTACAATAATGGTCTTATACTGTATTTGTCCTTATGGACTGAGTTAGTTCACTCAGCATAATGCTCTCCAGGCCCTCCCAAGTTAAGTAATAAATTAAGAAATCATTGTTCTTGCATGCTGTGTAGTATTCCATTGTGTGAATGTAGCATAATTTCTCAATCCATTCTATTGTGGTTGGGCATTTGAGCTGCTTCCATGTTCTTGTGATGGTGAATAACATTACTGTGAACATTGGTGTAAAAGTCTCTGTAATCAAAACCACAATGAGATACCGTCTCACCCCAGAGTTTAACAAGAAAGCAAGTAATAAATGTTGGAGTGGATGGAGCAAGATAGGAACTCTTATATGTTGTTGGTGGGATTGTAAAATGGTACACCCACTCTGGAAAGCAGTTTGGCATTTCCTCAAAAAGCTGAACACAGAAATTCTATATGACCCAGCTATTTCACTGCTTGAAATATACCCCTAGAAAATGAGCACTGAGACCTTTCTTTAAAAAAAAAAACAAACAAACCTGTTACTGTTCGGTCAGCAGCTAATTCTGCCTCAAGCCATGGGTTTGGTGAGATTCTGGCCTCATGTCTGCATCATGTGTATTTTTTCTGGGTCCTAGGCCTCATAAGACTCCTTCTTGTTCTTGTTGTTGTTAGATGCCTTTGAGCACAACTCATATCAACTCCTATAACACACCTGAGCCCTGACTTACCCCGTGGCTTCCTCACAATCAGTGACACATTTGAGGTCATTGCTGCAGTCATTGTGTCAATCCGCCTGATAGAGGGTCTTCCTCTCCTTTGCCAACCCCCCCACCCCCCACCACCTTTACAAGCATGATGTCCTTCTTCAGAGAACAGCCTTTCCTAGCAACATGCCCAAAGTCTTAAGATTTGGGTTTAAACTTGTTGTTATTGTTGTTATGTGCCATCGAGTCGCCTGCAACTCATAGCGACCCTATGTACAACAGCCCTAAACTCCGCTCTGTCCTGTGCCAATCGCACTGTCTCTGACACTCCCATCCCAATTATCCCAGTCACTGAATCAATCCACCTCATAGAGGGCCTTCCTCTCCTGCACTGTCCCTCCACCCTCCCAAGCATGATGTCCCTCTCCAAGGACCAGTCCCTCCTTACAACATGTCCAAAGTATGTTAGATGGAGCCTCAGAATCCTTGCCTCCAGGGAGCCGCCCAGTTTAACCCTTTCCAGGACAAATCTGTTTGTTTTCCTAGCAGTCCATGGTATTCTCAGTACTCTTCTCCAGCACCACAGCTCAAAGGCATCAATTCTCTTTCTAAAAAAAAAAAAATTCTCTTTCTATCCTCCTTGGTCATTGTCCAACTCTCTGATGCATAACAGGTGATTGCGAAGACCATGGCCTGTATCAGACGCACCTTAGTCTCCAAAGAGACACCATTGCTCTTCAGCACTTTGGAGAGGTCTCTAACAGCAGACTTTCCCATTGCAGTGCGCCTTTTAATTTCCTGGCTGCTGGTGCCAAGACTGTTGACTATGGAGCCAAGCAAACTAAAGCTGTGTACAATCTCAATCTCTTCACCATCCATCCTGATGCTGCCAATTGGTCAATTCCTACCAGAATCTTATTGGCTAATGCAAGTCACATGGCTGGGCTAAAAATCAGAATGATGCAGTAGCTCTCACTCACTGCCAACTCGTGGCTGACCCACCAGCAGATTTTCGAGAGGCCGTACATCGCAGAGGAGGAGATTGCATAGTTTCCTCCAGAGGCACTGCTGGTGTGTTCGAACCTCCGGAGAGCTATTGCCTTTGGCTTAGCAGTGCGTCTCCCTGTGAACACACCACCAGAACTCCCTATGTTGACTCTAGCGTGAGGGCATGTAAAGCTACAAGGCAAAGGCCACATGAGGGTGAAGGCTGGCACTAATCCAGTGGTCCACAACTACCATCACTTTTCTGTTGCTGAAGAATTCTTCTCTTCAGCTGCATCCGTTCTCCTTCACTCCCTGAGGCCCAAAGTAAACATGTCACTGGATATCCATGGTTCTTGGTTTTGGTGAAACATTCTTCTAGGTCGTGTAATCCTGGTATGTCCACTTGCTGTACAGAGGTAACTCGTGGTTGCTGTGAAGCCAAACACTGTGACACTGATGAGTCAAATGCGAGAATGGTTACCCATCGTGGACAGTGTTTAATGACGCTCCCCCATTAAAACAAGCTTGGAAGCAGGAGTGGCATCCACTTCCACAACAGCTTGCCTCGAGAAACCCTATAAACCTGGAGAAAGGACGAAAGTTATACAGATGTCCAAGTCTTTTGTTCATAGGGTTACTATGAGTCACCTCCGACTCGACGGCACTTAACAACAACAGATAGCTATCCATGGTCCTGCCACCTGCTGCCAGGAAGATCCATCTTGGAGACCAGTTGGAGTGGAAGCAGAAGTTTTATTATATCCTCGTATTTAAGAAACAAGGGATAAGCATTTCCCAGCTCCGTCTTCACTTTGGAGACTCCAGGGTCCTTACGCCGGGAGGGGCTGGGATAGAGAAGTGTGAGAAGGTTTTACAGTAGCTTCTTTTGCCCATGTGTTTTGACTGGTGTCTCAGACTGGCTGGGCTGGTCTTAATGTTCTAGAGATAGCTGACACTATTCACAAAAGGGGGCTAAGTCCTAGGTACAGCTTACAGGAACAGACAGCAGAAGGTAGCAAAGGGCTTTTTAAGTTTGAGAGCTCTGTTCTACTCAGAAAAGCTCTTTCTCTTTGTTTCCTTAAGATAAAACAAACAAAAAAAAGTTAGTCTGAAGGGGAAGAGAGAAAAAAGGAAAAGGAGGAAAATGTTAGTGTTACATTAGTACGAGACGATTCTTTTATCCACTAGTTGCAAAAGAGAGTTATTGTTGGCAAGAAGTTACACTGCAATCACAGAAGTACACAGTTCAAATCCACAAGATGTTCTGCTGGAGAAGGAAGGACAATCTCCTCCTGTGTCACTCAGATCTGATGTGACGGTACACACACACACACACACACACACACACACACACACACACACAAATAAAGTAAAATAAAAAAGAGTTATTGCTAATAGTCTAACATGTTAATGTTCTGTTGCAAGCACGGACATTGAGAGCATTAGAAGCCACCACTGAGGCGAGCTCTGGTGGCCTAGTGGCAAGAAGCTGCACTGCAATGCAAGAGGTGAATGGTTCAAATCCACCAGATGCTCTGCTGGAGAAGCAGAAACAATCTCCTCCTGTACCAGTCAGATCTGATTTGATGGTACACACAAAAAAAAATAATAAAGTTTTAAAAAAAATGTAAAAAAAGAAGAAGCCACCACTGAATGGTTCGGAGCCCAGCGATGGTCCTGATTCCTGCCCAGGGCATCACTCCTTTACTAAGGTTCATCTAGAGTAAGATGGGCAATCAGTTCATGACTGCTTCTGTCATGTGAACATGGAGATACGCATCAAGAAGGCCCCCTGGTAGTTTGTGTTTGCACTTGTCCATTCTCCACGAGACTCTTTGTGTCCCTGGTTCATCTTTAAATTCAAAATACAGGAAGTATCAAAGCCAGCAATCCTCTCCTCTAGCTTCTTGTTGTTAGACGCCATCAAGTTGACTGCAACTCACAGAGGCCCGGTGAACAACAGATCTGCACCCAGGCCTCTCTCTCCTGCGCCATCCTCACCATCTCTGACACACTCGCGCCATTGTTACAGTCACTGTGACAGTCCGTCTTGAAGAGGGTCTGCCTCTGACCCCCCACCTTTCCCAGCAGGATGTCTTTTTCCAAGGGCTAGCCCCTTCCAGCAACAAGCCCACACGGTGTGAGATGAAGTTTCACTATCTTTGCCTCTAAAAGCACCCCTGCTTCCACCTTTTCTAAGACAGATTTGTTCTTGTGATTTCCATAAGACATTCAATCTCCTTTGCGAGCACCAAAATTGAAAGGCATCAATTCTTCTATATCCTTATTCATTTTCCAACTTGCAGATGCATAGGAAGTAGTTGAAAGTACCGTGGCTTGGTTCAGGCAGACCTTAATCTTTAAACTGACATCTTTGCTCAACATAGGGCCCAAAAGCTATTGTTGAGGGTTAAATTAGCTGGCCAATATCCATTCAGTAGGCACACAGCTTAACATCTTTGTGCAAAGATGGAAGGTGGTGGCTCTTAATTGCAATAGAGACCAAGCCCAAGTCCTGCTGGGTTCCCAACGGGTGACTTTGCACTTGAACTTGCTTCTCCATCCTCTGATGTTGCAGGAAAATCAATATGCCCGATGGATGGCTGCCTGCATGTTGGCATCCAAGGGTAAAACCATGGCCGACAGCTCCTACCAGCCAGAGGTACTGAGCATCCTTTCATTTCTAAGAATGAAGAATCGGAGCCCGGCGTCTCCAACAACTTCCAGCGCAGAGAACATGGACATGAACCCAGAGTGTTTTGTATCTCCTCGGTGTGCAAAAAAGCACAAATCAAAACAGGTGCCGGTTATCTCCTTGGGGTGGTTGAGTGTGGTGAATGTTTTATGTGCTGAGATCAGATGAAAAGTCCCCTTGTTTAAGGCTTTGTCTTGAAAAAATCAGCTGGTAAGGAAATTTGCATATGGACTGAATATTAGATGATAAAGAGAAATTATTGCTCGTTTATTTCTAGAAGTAACTGGACTATCAAGTGGACATACTGACATTCCAAGGTTGAATTTAGAAATATAATTATTTGGTCCCCACAAATAGAAGATCAGACATAGCTTTTGTTAAGAATGATTTAGGAGCCCCTGGGTGGCGCAGTGGGTAAGCACTTGGCTACTGACTGAAAGGTTGGCTGTTCAAAACCACACGGAGGCACCTCGGGTAAAAGGCCTGGAGATCTACTTTCAAAAGGTCACAGCCATGAAAAGCCTGCAGAGCAGATATCTAGCCAGTAACACATGGATGGCCATGAGGTAGAAGCAACATAACACCAGTTGAGAGTAGGTTCCCAGTAGAACGTTCAGCTGTCTAACTGGGTGTTTCACACTTGGATTAATTCATGCTTCCTCTCTCTCTTTCTCTCTTTCGTTGCTCTCTCTCTCTCTCTCTCCTGTCATCTCTCTCTCTCCTGTCGCTCTCTCTTTTTCTGTCTGTCTCTCTCTCCTCGCACTCGCTCTCTCTGTGTCTCTGTCTCTCTTTCTCGCTCCTTTTGCTCGCTCTTTCCTCTCCCTCTTTCTCTCTCTCTTTCCTCTTGCGCTCACTCTCTCCTTTCACTCTCTCCTCTCCCTCTTTCTCCCTCTCTTTCCTCTTGCTCTCTCCCTGTCTCTGTCTGTCTCTCTCTCATTGCTGTTGAGCTGGAAGTGACTCGTAGCTGACCCTCCAGTGAGTTGTTGAGTACTGTCTAATCAGAATTGACCCATAGCTGGCTCTCCAGTGGGTTGTGATTGTGTTGAGTACCGTTGGGTCAGAACTGACCCATAGCTGACCCTCCAGTGAGTTTTCACACAGAAGGAGATTGTCCATCTTTCTCCTGAGATGCACTTGGTGAATTCGAACCCCCAGTCTCTGGGCTGGCAGCCCACCTCCTTGCCACCAGAACTCCCTGAACTAATTCAGGTAGAACTATTTCCCATGGGCACCTCCAGAGAGAGGGACCACAGGCCTGTCCATCTGCACACTTCTAAGAGGCTTCTGTGCTAGCTGGTCTTGTTCCTGTCTCTTCCCAATGATGTTTGTGTCTTGTAGGAAAATAAGAAAGAATGAATAGACATGAATTAATTAATTGTCTGTGGAACTATGCACTTTTCTCCTAATTGGGGATCTGGCTTTAATGGGGTGAGCCCAGCATAGTCATTGCTGACTGAGGAGAGTCTGATATCTCACGCTCTGTACTTAGCTGGCAGCCCGGATCCTGGAAGCCCACCAGAATGTGTCCCAGATGCCTCTAGTCGAAGCCAAGCTGCAGTTCATCCAGGCCTGGAGGTCTCTGCCTGAGTTTGGGCTCACTTACTACCTCGTCAGGTAACCGCCCTGTTCACTTGCCCCACTCACATTCTGTTTTGTTTTCAGCAATTTGCCTGGAACCGTCTTTATTCTCAGTCCAGAGAGTAGACCTCTTCTCATAGAATACCGCCGCCTTCCACAAATGTCCCATAAGCTTTGGGAGGTTCATGGAAGTCTCCCATTCCCTCTGTTAGAAGTGCCAACAGCCCTGGAAGCCAGTTAAATGTAAGAGTGAAGCTTTCATAACTTTAAAAAGAGAATCGCTCGTTCCAGATAACTACACGTGCAAGGCAGAAGGAGGTCTTTACTGAGCCTATGAAACCTGTGAGCCTCTGTCCTTGCAGGGACCTCCCTCCCTGTTCCAGCTCCCATTCTGTCTCTAGCAGCATGATTTGCAGGTTTGTTCAGTTTCTAGACAAAAAATTTGCAACAAGCACTGTGCCTTCCTTCTCCTTACCAGCTTTGTGAGATAGAGACCATCGTCTTTGTTGTTGATATTGTTGTTGTTAGGTGCCATTGAGTCAACTATGTTTCATAGCAACCCTGTGGACGACAGATCTGACTTGTGCTATCTTACATCATCCTCACAATCTCCGCCAAGCCCAAGCCCCTTGTCACAGTCACTGCGTCAAGCCATCTTTTTGAAGATCTTCTTATCCTTCACTGACCATGCGCCTTTCTCAGTGTGCTGTCCTCTTCCAAGGACTGGCCTCTCCTGCTAGCATGCCCAAAGTACGTGAGACAAGGTTTCCTTAGCCTCGCCTCTAAGGAGCACGCTGGCTGCACTTCGTCCAAGGCAGATCTGTTGATCCTTTTGCCAATCCAGTGTCTACCCAGTACTCTCCACCAACAAGGCCATTCAAAGATACCGATTATATGATCTTCTTTATTCATGCCCAACTTCCAGATGCAAAGGAAGCAATCGAAACTACCATAGTTTGGGTCAGACCTTAGTCTTCAAACTGACATCCTTGCTCTTTCGCACTTTAAAGAAGTCTTCGACAGCAGATTAGCCCAATGCAGCATGTCTTTTGATTTCTTGATTGCTGAGACCATGGGTGTTGATTGAGAATATAAGTAAATTGAAATTCTTGACAGTTTGCATCTTGTCTCCACCTGTCATGATTTTACCTGTTGATCTTGTTGTAAGAATTTTGGTCTCTGGATATTTTTTTAGTCTCTAAAGGTTCAACGGTAGCCCATCTGGTACTCCCTCCTTCTGTCTCACAGATGAGCACGCTGAGATACAGGAAAATAGCTTATGTGGCCTGTCCAAGTTCAACTTCAAGTCAGGAGCACCAGATTCAGTGCCCTCATACCTCCCCCAGTAAGCATGAAGGCCCCCCAAAAACACATCAGGCAAATGGTTCCCCAAAATATCGTAACAAGCATGCTTGTAAATGGAGTTCAGATTTTGTGATTCAGTATGAAAGATAGGTGTTTAAAGAAAATTAATCTTTAACCTGGAATTAAAGCAAATACTTTCCCCTATCTCATTTTGCAACTTGGGAATTAGAAAATAGATTTGCTTTCAAGAATTAAGTTATAGAAGAGAAACTTTAAATTTTTCCCCCTAGACTTCTCCAAAGATCGTGTTTCTCCTATTCCTTCAAATAAAGAAGTTGATTCTGACCCTCTTTTGTGCACTGAAAAGCTCATTCCATATCTGTCCCCAGTTTTTGTGAGAGAGAAGTTAATCCTTATGCTTTTACCCCCAGGTAAAATAATCAAAGGGCAAAGTTGTATTTGGCACTTGCCTGGGTGCAGGTGCACACATGTGCAAACACGCTCAGCTCTAAGTCTCAAGTCATCTTTGTACATTTCAGCCGGCTAAACTCCGCTTCCAGTCCTCCCTCAACCACGAGCCAGTACGTCCTCCTGCATTTGTTTGTTTGTTTTCATGTGTACATCAAATCGGATCTGACAGGTACAGGAGGAGAATGCCCCTCCTTCTCTAGCAGCGCATCTGGTGGATTTGCCTCCTGCCTTGTTAATCACACGTCCTCCTCCATTATCCCATTGCCCATCCTTCTTAAATGCTTTTGAAATATCAGTATTATCTGTAAGAAATTGCAGGCGAATGAATGGCTGTATCCTAAGAAGAAGTTGTTTCTCTTCATTAATATTACCTTCCCCGCCCCACCCCCCCACCCCCCAGATTTAAAGGAAGCAAGAAAGACGATGTTCTGGGAGTTTCCTATAACAGACTGATTAGAATCGACGCGGCCACTGGGATTCCAATCACGACATGGAGATTCACAAATATGAAACAGTGGAATGTGAACTGGGAAATCCGTCAGGTAAAAAGAAAGATTGTTGGGAGTGGTGGTGTGTTTTCTTTTGTTGTTGTTTGTTTGTTTTTATCTTCAGCATTGAGCATGTACTCAACTCAGTGGCACTTTATGACAAAAACGCATGTCTAAATGAGAGAGGGAGAGGGAGGAAGAGAGAAAGAATGAATATGGGTCAGCAGACCATTTTTAAAGTGTAATGCAGCATTACACCACAAGAGGGCAGAGTGAGAGCAGAGAAGAAGTTGTGCTGCAATGCCAAAGGCAGAAAGTTTGAGACCACCAGCTGCTCCGTGGAAGAAGGAAGAACAATTTACTCCCGTGCGATTAACTGGCTCTGCAAACCCGCCGGAGGGCAGCTATGGGTCAGTTCCAACTCCAACATGCCTCAGGACAAAGAAAGGCAATTCCTCCTGTGATTTACAGCCTCTGAAAATCCTCTGGAGGGTCAATTCTGGGACTGTTGAGTTAACTGACAATGAGTTCCTTTTCTGATGAGTTTTAATGGAGAATGATTTCCCACCTTCCCTTCCCTCCTCCCTCCTTCCTGTTTTTCCTTCCCTGCTTTTCTTTCCTCCCAAATACAGTTGTCTCCAAGGAAGCAGCATCTTTCTCACTGGTTTGGGGTTTTGTTAAAGTTTTTCTTTGTTCTTGTTATTTGAGTGAAAGGTTACAAAGCATATTGGGTTTGGGTTTTGTTTGGTTTGGGGATCCCCCCCTCTGGTCACCCCTACACACCTGGTTCCACAGCGTCAGGTACAGTACACGTCCTTGGCAACGTGTAACCAGAGCCTCCCCCTTCCAGGTGGCCATCGAGTTCGACCAGAACGTCTCCATTGCGTTCACCTGCCTGAGTGCAGATTGCAAGATTGTACACGAGTACATCGGGGGCTACATCTTCTTGTCCACCCGCTCCAAGGACCAGAACGAAACGCTGGACGAGGATCTGTTCCATAAATTGACTGGCGGTCAGGAATGAAGCCTGGCTGGGGGTGGAGGTGGGGGTGGGGGGTCTGCCCAGAGGGCCAGCAGAGAGCACTCCTGCCCAGGCAGTTGGGACTGGACACGAGTGGTGTGTAGACTCACAGATAACATGTGTATACTGCCAGTCCTCCAGAGCCTCACCTCGAATGAATAACCCTATCCCGCGTGTCTCTTGCCTTTGTTTTGGGTCCAGAGAGCTCTGGTAACCTAGTGGGTAAGGAGCTGTGCTTGCAGACCAAAGGCAAAAGGTTCAAATTCACCAGCTGCTCCACAGGAGAAAGATGGGTGGTCTCTTCATAAGCCGCCTGCTGAAGGGGGTCGTCTATTATGAGTCAGTTCCAATCCCAGAGTGTTGAGTTTACTTATTCAGCATGTCTCTTCCCTTTGCTTTGTGCAAAAGTGGTTGAAGAGGCCTCAGTAGTCTTTTCTGTAAAAGGGGAACACGAGAGACACAGTGATAATCCTTCTGATTGCTTTCAATTTTGTTGTTGTTGTGTTTCATCGAAATGGAACCTGTCCATCATTGACCCTCCGATTGAGTTTTCAGAGGCAGCTAATTGCTTGCAAGGGGACTGACCGTTCTTCTTCCGTGGAGCAGCTGGTGGATTTGAACCAAGTGCCTTCAGAATTACAGCACAGCCTCTTGCCACTAGGGCCACCAGGGCTCCAACTACTTAAAAAAAAGGCACCTCATTGCCTTCAAGTTGGCACTGACTCTTAACTGACGCTCTAGGAGATTTTTTTCAGAGGCTGTAAATGGCACAGGAAGATATTGATCTCTCATCTTTCTCCCGCGTCTCGTGGATTCGAACGGCCCACTTTGGGGTTAGCAGTGCACCTCCCACTGACTTGCCATCCAAAGCCCCCAGGATTGCCCTGGGCTCCAGCATTTAGCTATGATTTTGTGGCTTTCAGAGCCCATATGACCTAGTTCAAACTTACTTATGTGCTTGTGTTTTCATTTTTGAGTGAATGGAGAAGACAGAGATTAAAAAAAAAAAAGATAAAAAAAATCCCTTGGAATGAGTACCAATCTTATTCTATAAACTCAGGTATGAAAAGAAGTATCACTGATTAAAGGAACTGCTTCAAGCTGGCATCTTGTTCACCCGGCAGAGGGAGTCTGCTTGTGTGGGGATGGGGGCCATGCACTCCCCTAGGACCAGTGGTCCACCAGGAGTCAGTGTCACCACAGTGGTCCTGGCCATCAGCCCCCCAGGCCACTCCATCTACAACCCTCAGTCCTTTCCTGGGGTCCCTCCATTTGAAGACATGGCTGACACAGGTGCAGAGCAAACGGCTCCTCAGCCCAGACTCAGGCCTGCGGCCTTCTTCCTTCTCGGGAAATTGAGCAGTTCTCTCTAGTCTATACCTAAAAACACTGCCCAACACCACGGGTTCTAGTCACGATTCCACCCCAATCCATGTCTGAGGTTGGGGAGGGATTGGCAGGACGCAGGGCAGGCCCATTCTCAAAGACCACCATGTTCAGTGCCTGACCACTGCCCTCTGGGGTGTTCCCCCTTCACCACTCCCCGTGCTCTTTCTGGGTGTGGTAACATGTTTCCATTACGCCCGCCCTTTCCCCTAAAGGCCTTAATCAAAGAGGCCAATGATGGCCCCTTTGTGCCTCTGGTTTTTGCCGAGTCATCCCTGTCCCAAGGTCATGGATGTGGACCTGTTACAGCTACCTGAATTAGCATTGCCTGTTTGATGAGAGGGCCTGATTTTGAGGAGGAGGCTCAGGGGACAGAGGGACATAGTGGGTGCTGGTTTATTCCGTCTTTCTAAGTGTTTTGTTGCGCGTTTGGAGCCTCGGAACTAGGTCCGCAGGTGGCCTGGCCTGACCCAGAGGAACACATGTCTGCCTGTGGACGTCAGCTCCTGCTGTATTTCCCAGAGGAGCCGTCTGGGAAGACATTTAGCAATTCCACAATTCCAGGAGGCAGCCTTGGCTGGGACCCAGGTCCTGAGCCGGAAGCATCACCTTGGAACCTCTTCTCAAGGTCAAATGTGTGATTCTTAACCTAAAACCAGAAAAGTGGTAGGGGCACTTAGGAGACCTGCTTTGTGCCATAAAGAGTTCTATTTCATCTGTTCTGTGTTGAGAACCCGCTTGCACGTGAGTCACTTCAGAACAGTGTCAGCCCCGGGTATGTCAGGATAGGGCCAAGCTTCATGGCTTTTCATTGGCTGGTTTTTCAAACACAGAGCTTACCAGGCCATTCCTGCGAGGCACCACTAGGTGGACTCCAACACACAGCCTTTCTATTGACAGACCAGGACATCAACCATTTGCACCACATTATCTAGGAGCTTGTGTGACAGAAACCGTGTTGAGCTGATGGAGTCATTTCTCTATAGTCCAGGGTTCAATTATTTCAAAACCTAATTGAGTCTTTAGGGAGCTCTGGGGGGCCTAATGGGTAAGGAGTTGCTCTGCCAACCCAAAGGCTGGCAGTTGGAATCCACCAGCTGCTCCATGGGAAAAAGATGGGCAGTCTCCTCCTATGTGATTTACAGCCTCTGAAAGCCCCCTGGAGGGTCAGCCTTGAGTTGGATCTGACGACAGCAGTTGAGTCTTTAAGATGACGCTGGGCCGTGTATTGAAAATTGTCCTTCATGGTGAATGACCCCCTTTTGTTGCCTGGTAAAGCTGAGCAGAATTTACCAAAGCTAAACAAACCTTCATCTGGCCCTGTTCATGTTCTGACATTTGCCTGGCATTTCTATGAAAATGTCAAGGGAATTGGCTGGCTCTCCCCGTCGATGACACCCTTCACAGGGACTTTTCCTTCTGGCGTTTACACAGCAGCATCCCCAAGGGACAGGCCAGTGAGACTTGGGAAAGGGAAATCGTGGATGCTGCTAGTCAAGGACGTTCTCGCTAAGTCTCCTGGTGTGCGAAAGGTCCTCTGACTTTGTATGCAGGCATTTTGAATTAATGCGTGCCTTTCTAAACCATTTGCTTTCTCCTCTATACTGGATGCCCAAAACTGTGCTGTTTGTTGTTTTAGAAAACATTTTCATTAAAAGGTTTCTATAGATCTGAGGAGTTGCCTTACCGTGGTCACTTGTGGTTGCTGTGAGGCTGAACACTGTGACACTGAGTCAAATGCATTAATGGTTGGCTACCCAATGTGGACAGAGAGTGGGGTGGAGCTCCCCAATTAAAACAATGGAAGGAGGAGTGGCATCCACTTCCGTAATAGTTTGCCTCCAGAAACCCTATGAACCTGGAGAGAGGATGAAAGGCACTCGTGGAGGACTCTCCTTTATAGGGTCGCTATGACGGCACTTAGCAACAGCATAGATCTGAAGACTTCCCTAGTCGTGCCTGCTCCTACACAGGTCTCTAAAAGACATAAAGTATTTTCTGTTATGTAAAAAGAGGGCAGTTTACACTCTAATGTATGTCTCACAGGTTCCAAGATTACAGCCAGTTCGTCCAGGTTTGGGTGAGAGCAGCAGATAAATTGGTGCGTGAGAGATGAACTTAAAAACCTCAGCTGTTGGTCTGAGATCTTCCTTTCTGTATCTGTCCCTATATTTCCTGACATTTCCTGTCTTTTCTTGAGATTTTTTTTTCCCTTTCCAGTTCTGCCAGTAACTGGGTGGTGTAGAGTCAATTCCAACTGCTGGTCACCCCATCTGAGTCCTGCTAGAACAGCACCCCATGGAGTTTTCAGTCCTTGTTTTTCAGGTACAAGGCACCAAACCTTTCTTCTGAGCTGCCTGATTATAGCAAGTGGGGAGACTTGAACCTCCAACCCATTGTTTAGCAGCCTAACACGTTATCCATTCATTTGGTACCACCCATTATCTAACTACCATTAGGGGAGATGGGGAAACATCAGACAGCAAAGAAATGCTCTGACTCAGCGGAGCAGCACAGGCCACTCATTTTGACGACTGAATGTCAAAGGCATGGCTTTGTCTTAATGATGCACCCATTTTTCCAGTTGCCATGGAGATGGCTGTGACTCATGTTCACTGGATGCTCAGTAGCAAGTTCTTAGGTGCTATTGACTGTAACTCATAGACTGTATGAACCCGCCTTACGCTGTGCCATCCTCATTGTCTCTGACACACCCGAGGCCATTGTCACAGTTACTGTGGCGATCAATCTTGAGCATCTTCCTCTCTTACGTTGACTCTCCACCTTTCCAAACATGATGTCCTTTTCCAAAGAATGTTGTCAGAACCCACCCACAGCTGACCCTCCAGTGAGTTTTCACACGGAAGGAGATTGCCCATCTTTTTTTCCCCCACGGAGCAGCTGACAGGTTTGAACCGCCTGCCTTGGGGATTGCAGCACAGACTCTTGGGAGTAGGTTACCAGAGCTCATCCCCTCTTAAAAAATTTGCTCAAGGAGTATGAGACCATCTTTGCCTCTAAGGAGTACCCCATTGTACTTTCTCCGACACTTGTTTGTTGCAGGTTGGTTTTGTGGTTATGTGCCATCAAGTCACATGGAACTCATAGTGACCCTAAGTGCAAAAGCTCTGAACCCAGCTCTATCTCGAGTCAATCTTATTGTCTCTGACTCACTCACCACCATTACCCCAGATATTGAGCTGATCCATCTCATCAAGGGTCTTCGTCTCCTGTGTTGTCCCTCCACCCTCCCAAGTATAATGTCCCTCTCCAAGGACTGGTCACTTCTTGCAAAATGCCCAAAGTATGTCAGACAGAGCTTCAGAATCCTTACCTCCAAGAAGCAGCCTGGTTTCACCCTCTCCAAGATGAACTTGTTTGTTCTTCTAGCAGTCCATTGATATATTCAATACTCTTCTCCAGCACCACAGTTCAAAGGCCTCAATTCTCTTTCTATCATCCCTAGTCATTATCTAGCTTTCTAATCCATAGCATGTAATTGTGAAGACCATGGCCTGGATCAGGCGCACCTTGGTCTCCAGACTGACATCGTTGCTCTTCAGTACTCTGGAGAGGTCCCTGACAGCAGGCTTTCCAAATGCACGTAGTGATGTGCAGAT